AACGTTTTATTAATTTTATTAGTTAACTGTTAATTTTATTAATTAATTATTAATTAATTATTAACTAACAAAATTTACTTTCAGTTAACTAACAAAAATTTACTTTCAGTTAATAAAATTAATAATCAATTAACAAGATTATTCTGTTTTTTTTTTTTTTATCAACAAAAATAAATCTTATTATATAGAGCACAAGGAGTACTCATGCCCATATACACTAATTCCAAAAAAGCACTTTATCACAAAAATTTCAAAACCTCAAAATATAACCATCATGCAAACAGAGCAGAAACCGAAGACAAAGAAACAGAAAAACAGCAAACAATTGTCTCTGCAGCTTAGTCACAACCTTCCAGCACTCAAAATCCAAACCGTAGCAAAACCACCAACGCACTTGAGCCAGCGTTACCCTTCCTGATCAACTCTCGTCCAGTCTGCTCGCCATTGCAAATTCCTTGCACTCTTTAGATTCTTGCGATATTGCACAATATTCTCCCTGCACTCCCTTGGCCTCAACATCCAATCCGTATATGAGAACACACACCCTGGTTCCTTGTTCTTGAGCCATAAAAAAGATTTTGCTTGAATAGACTCAAATAATTGCTCTTCAGACATACCCTCTTTCCTAAACACATATAAATTCCTCCAATACCAAATAAACCACGCCGTAACCAAAAACATGAGAGCCCCTAAATCCTTCAAAACTCCTCCACTTATCTCAAATACCACTAACTCCACCCAACTAAACAAATCATTTGGTAAAACACTCTGAATCTCCCACCACCCCAAAACCTTCATCCATACTAACCATTAACTGATTGTTAGCTGACTATTAGCTTTATTAACTGATTGTTAACTGATAAAAATTTATTTTCAGTTAATAGAATTAATAGTCAAAAAACAAAACTAAAGAAATATTATAAAATGAGAGCTGTTTTCTTTAATTCTAATAAATGAGGGGTTAAAGGTGCCATAGTATAAAGTGAGAGACTAAAACATACAAATCTAATGAGGTAAAAGACCAAAAGTAAATTTTTGCCTATAAATTTACTCCATTTTTTCGATTAAATCTTTAAGTTTTTATTGAAGTAAATAAACTCATAAATTTGTCTATACTTATATAGATAAGGTTAATGCCACTTTATAAGTAATTACATGTCAATACATTATTTACGTAAAGGATACAAAAATGAGCATTGAGTATACTATAAAGAAGAGGGGATAAATTGCTCAATTTTTCAAGTTTCAGGAGCTTACTTTAATAAAAGTTTAAATGTTGAATAGCTTTCGTCCCTCAACTTTAGAGTTTTGCACAATTTTTATTTACAAACTATTTTAAACATTTTTTGGGTCCCTCAATTCTAAAAAATAAAAATATACTTTTTTCATCACTCTACTATTAGTTAATTCGTTAAATATCTATATAAATGTAGATTTTTAATTCATGAACTTATAAGTCCAAAAACAAAAAATGTGTACATATTATAAGTTTAGAGACTGAAAATGTGTACATTGGATAAATTTGATAGATTAACTAACTGATGGAAGGACAAAAAATGTGTATTTTTCAACATTGAGGGATGAAAAAACACAAAAGAAAAGTTGAGGGACAAAAATTATGTAAAACCTTATAGTTAGAGAACTAAAATTGGCATTTAACCAATTTTTAATCACTTAGCCATTTTAATTAGCCAACAATTGCCCCTTATCCTTCTCTTATCCGTGATCCACTAAACAATTTTATTGACTCCATTTAACAAAACATTTATTAACTTTCATATTCTTTTTAATTTCATCTATTATCTTTGGATTCTTCCAATCCTATCTATTATCTTTCATATTCATTTCAACCTTATAATAGATATCCTTTGCTTAGCCTTCTTTAAGCAAAGGTTGTATTCATGTATACACTATAGATACTAGCTGTTGTAGTATCTAAGTTTTTCTCTTTCTCCTATTAGGAGTTATTTTTCACAAATTTCCATTTTTCATTCTTTGGGTAGTTCTATTTCAGTAATCATTTTTTGTTTTTGAATTTGTCCTATTTTAGAGAACATAGGATCTAATTCAATATATTCTTTGTCTTTAAAAAGATTAGATTGATGATTATTGGTCAATGCGTAACTTATCATATAGTAAATAGTATATGTCATTAATCCATCTTTCATAAAAATTTCTCTTGCAAATTCATGTGCCAGACTTAGTGTTTTGTTGATATTTCTATCATTAATACTTATAGCATACTTTGGATATATCGTGAACATGAGTTTTTGATAGCTAAGGTTACCTTGTACTAATCTTAGGATAGCATCCTTTTTATTGTTAATTCTATTATCTATTAAAACTAGCTTTATTGGAGTGTCTATACCTTCTCTAAAGTGAGCTTTAATAAGGATTTGAATTCCTCGTACATGGACAAATCCTATCTTTGATCTATTATGTTCTTTGATTTTTGACAATTTACTTTCCATTTCTGTCTTAATGAGCAGAGGTATATTTATTATTTTTATTGTATTCTTGATAGAATACTATATTTTTTAGTGGATATTCCATAATAAACTATATCTTTCCTCTTAAAAGGATTATTTATAAAGGAATTTGACTTGAATCCTTTTTCTAATGCAAGGTCCATTTATTTTTGTCTAATTCTTTTATACTTACTTTTATCGAATACATTTACTTGGCTATATTCTCCATATTCTTCATATTCTTCAAAATAAGCTTCTTCTTCCTCAATATTCAGATTCATCGCTGTTGGAAATATTTGAACTTTCCACTTCATATATACTTTCATCATTATTTATACTGCTAGTCTCTATTTCGCTTAATTCGTCTTCATAAATTTTTGAATTTTTGGTACTTTTTTCTTTTGTTTCTTTTAAGACATTCATTTGCATAGTGTCCTTCTTCTTTACATAACCACCATGTGCATTTCTTAGGATTTTTTTAATATTTTCTCGGTGCTTTTGTTAGTTATCGCTATTGGAAGTATCTAAACTTTGCACTTCATATTTACTTTCATCACTATTTATAGAGCTAGTCTTCATTTTGCTTAATTCTTCATAAATTTTTAAATTTTTAGTACTTTCTCTTTTATGTCTTTTAAGACATTCATTTGCATAGTGTCCTTCTTTACATAACCAACATATGCATTTTTTAGGATTCTTTTTATATTTTCTTAGTGCTGTTGTTTTCTTAAAATACCTTGTTTTCTTTCTAAAAAATTTATTCTTATTAAACATTTGTTTATTACTTCTTTTAATTTTAAATCTTTTGTTTCTTGTCCTGTAGTTTGAATAACTACATCATAACTTGATTGGATCATTATTTCTAAGACAACATAACCCATTTTCATACTCTTTTTTAATTTGTTATAGTTATAGGTTTCTATACACCACTCATTTATTTTGATTTTAGTGAACCAAATTCTTAGACTTAACGTATTTGTTTTATCTTCTATATAGGTTCTATAGGCTTCTGCTAGCTTTATTCCCCAAGAATTAGGGATTTTTCCCAAAAATAATTCTCTTAAACTTTTAGCCATTCCATGGTTTGAGGATTTATAATAATAATTCTTAAATAAATAAATGTATTGGTCTAATTCGCAGAGATTACATAATTTCAGGTTGTTCCATATTGCTATTCTACCAATTTTGGCTTTTTCCTTCTCTTGATTTTCTTCCTAATTTTCTCCTAAAAATTCTTTTCTTATAACTGATTCAAACCTAGTTATTATGTCTTGAATTGCTTCATTTTCATTTACTTCTTCTACAACAAGATTTCCACTTACGATAGTATTACTTTTTTCTTCATTTAGACCAACAAACGAGTCATGAACTATTTCTCTAAAGGTGACTTCAATAAATCTAATTGCTTATGAACCATTCCAGTTTTCGTTGATTATAGCTATCCAAGTGGTTTGAGCCCAGTCACTAATGACTTTTGGATCGGTATCACAATCTAGACCTAACCAAATGCCATTGGTACAATAATTTGTTCTTTGACTCTATCTAAGGTTTTAAGTCTAAATTGATTTCCAAATTCCTTTCTATCATATAATATTTCATGCATCTGATTTCTATTTCTTCTGTAACTTTGACTAGTGCTAGATTCTATCCCTTGTTGTATTGGGAATTCTATTGGAGTTATATTAGGTGGTCTTTCATCATTTTCTTCTTCAATTTCCTCCTTTTCTTCTCTCTGAGTATTCGTCTTCATATTTTCTAGTTGTAGAGTAGTTATTATAACCTACTTGCATAGATTATTTAATTCTTTTACATTTTCTTCTTCTAAGAATCTTTGTTCCAATTTTTTCAATTTTTCTTCTTTGATTTTTTAACATAAAAGTGTTATTCCGTTTTATTTAAGTTTTCTATGAAAATCTTTGGGATTATTTTAAATCTTTCATTTCTATCCAAAATATTTCATCTACTCTAAACTAATATTATAATAACTTGTAGATTCTTAAGTTGAGTTTGGATCTTGTAGAAATTCTTATTTATATCACTTTCTAATTGTGGGATTATTCTATCATACATGTTAAGTTTTTAAAGCAAAACTTTCAATGAATGCTTTTAATATCTTAATAATTTCTTCTACTCTCTAATTGGAGATATTAGAGTTTTTAAGTCTTTGATCGACCTTATTTTCTATTTTATTTTTTTCAAATCTCTTGAATTTTTGACATCATTTATTCTTTCTTTGATAGAATCAAACTCTTGAGAAAGAGATTTTTCCATTTCTTTAATTTTTCTTAAAGTATTTTTATTAATAGTTTCTATTTTTAGAATCTTATTAATTATAATTGTATCTTCTATACCGATTATACTTTTACCTAATATGCATTGAGTAAATACATGTTAATTTAGTTTATTTGTTCGTTATTCATATTGATGGAAGTATATTTATAGTATTTCTTAGTGTATTTATTCTTTCTCTCTTTGTTTTTATTTGGTAGTTAAGTGTTCTAACTTTTATTGTATCTTTAAGATTTACTCCTAAGTTTATCGTCTTAAGCTTGCTAAGTTTCTCTTTTTAAATTGAGCTAGTTGCTCAATTTCATTACAAATTCTGATTCATATATCTCTACAAAGTATTTTTGGATTCATCATATTTTATTGGGATTATAGTGTTACTTTTTCAAAAGTTAAAAGATTGCTATATTTCAACTCTAAGTTAATTCTTTTGTCAAAACTAACACTATCCTAAAATATTCTTCAAACTTTTTAGACTAAAATAAAATAAAATTGATAATTAATAAACTAATTATTAAATTAAGCTGTAAGTTTCGTTTAATGAAACCAAATGAGGGAAAGGGAAAGGAGACAATTATTTTATTTAGTTATTGGAAAAAATGAAAATTTTCTTTTATTTTTCGCTTGTAATTGTTTTGAGTATCCTAATTTAGATATCTTTATTTTGTAGTTTACATTATATTAGAATATAAAATAAAATTACAAAATAAGAAAAGATTTTCAATATTAGAGAATTTATCTCTTATTTAATAATTATAATTATAAAATTTGATATCCTTTAAATTACGCAATATATTTTTTTCTTTATTCAAGTAATAGAAGCAAAGAAAAGAAAAATTAAAATTAAAGAATTTCATGTTTTTCCATTCCCCGCCTCTCCTTCCATTTCCCTTAAATTAACAAATTAACCAAATATAAGGACCGCATTTGAATTTGGAAGCGAGTAGTTTTGTGTCTTTTCCTTTCTTAAATTATTGTCACGTGTCTTTTCCTTTCTTAAATTATTGTCACGTGTCTTTTCCTTTCTTAAATTATTGTCATGTGTCTTTTCCGTTCTTTTCATATTTGGTAACAACAGCCCGCAGCACCTTTCCTCTCAAGACAACGAAACCACTGTTGGCGTTTCAAATTGACAATCTCTTCTTTGTTCAAAAAAAAAAAAATCTTCTCCCCTCTCTTGCTTTCAGCTTGATCTAAAACTCTCTAGAAATGGCATCCGGCAGTCCCGTCCAACATGGTATTAAGATTTTCCTTTAGAGAAATTTTCTGTTTGACTCTTCAGGCATGTTAATCGGTCTCTAGACGTGTAGGAGGCGATGACAAGGTACACACAGCCACTGATCAAAACGCTGATCAAAACGTTCTGCCGAAGCACGTCGCCTTTTTCGACCGGAATCAGCGATGGCATCGTCTATCCATGGGAGACCTTCGGAGGTCATTTTGATTTTTGCCATTAAATTCTTCCACACCAATTTTATTTTTTTTACACGCTAGTAGTCCACCCTTTGACTTATGAGTTGAAAGAAAAAAAAAAAAAAAAAAAAAAAAAAAAAAAAAAAAAGAAGAAGAAAAGTCAGATGAATGAAAACAAACAATCTGACTCCTTTGATTTTCCCTCAAAACAAACAGATTTAGGGAAAAATATTTCTTTCTTCGCTTTGATTTCAAGAGAATTTCATGGCTGTTGCCAGAAGGGAAGATGGAGTGAAAACAGAGGGAATGGAGGAAGAGGAGTCTGACTGCTTGTTTTCCAAATTGGTACAATAGTTGAGAACGGCGTTCAATGCCTTGGCGCCAAACATACATGAACCACAAGACAGCTTCCTCAGATTTTTGCGGTTTTTAGCGAATCGAGCCATCCTGTAATCGATGATTTCGCGGCATCCGCGAAGCTTGAGGCGGCTAAGGTTTGGGCAACAAGTTGAGATTATTGAAAACTTAAGCTCGATTATTTTACTAAGCAAATACAGAGCAATATATAGAGTACACGCAGTTGTCTAACCTAGAAAATAAGGAAACCTCAATTAAGTACAAGATACATATAATGTATATTATTTACATTAAGATTGGAATTTGATTTCCTTCTGCGAGATGGTCGGAGATTTGGCTTCCTTCTGCGAGGTGGAGTGATCGATCTGATAGAGATCAGAACCAACGCCTCGTTGCTTAAGCTAATTGATTTTTGGTTGCACGGAAGCGCAAGTTTGTTGATGGAATCGAAGTGCGTGAAGATAAAAGGTAATGAATCAACGATCTCCGATTGTGCATGAGCGATAAGCGATAGTGGTTCTGGCCATCCACAAGCAGCCACCACTTGCACACTAGCGAGCACCGTTTGCAGTCATCGACGCCAAGGAATTGAAAAATGTATTCCAAGCACTCATCAGGAATCTCGCCGGTATAATCGAGATTCGTGGCAAATTCCTCATCGGATTCCACGGAATCACTTCGTACGGGTAAAAATTACAAATAGAATATTAATACATATACCTTTACACAGTTATACACTCTGTTATACGCTAATAGTTTTTCAGTTAGTGTTTAACAGAAACCATTGGTTTTCACGGCTAAGTAACGAAAATTGTTAATTTTAATGGCATGAGTAACGTAAACTGTCAATTTTAACAATACAAGTAACGAAAACTATCAATGTATAATAAAGTATGTAACTTTGCAGTGTGTATATATCATTTTTCTTACAAATAATACAGGAGTCATCAACATGACAATAACAAATCTTATCTATAAATAAGATTTTGGTTTTATTTTTTATTTTTTATTTTTATTTTGGACTGTAATAGGGAACCAAAGGATTTCTTAGGATGGTTAGTGCTTGGTTTTCTTTTTCTTTCTTCATAAACAAGTTTGTGCGAACT